ATCGGTATGGCCTATGCTGAATGCACTGCTGTTTTGGTCAGGAGACACCAAGGATTGCGGTAAGAAACACTCAGAGTCGACAGTCGCCACTGAGGGGAGTGAAAGCGTTACAGTTCCTCCCACGACTCAGAGTATCCGTGAGTAGATTGGGTCATGTTTTATGAGTCAACACGATGGAACAGAGAACGCTGGCAAGAACACGTTCTCAACGAAACCAAAGGACACGGTAAATTGGAGTATTCGACAGGAGTAAAGCATCCTGCCAACGAACCGTTTCCCGCAAATACCACGTTGACTTCCGTATCAACTACCACGATGTATTGATCTAACACGCTACAACTAGCGTTACTGATCGCATCAATCAAAGCTCACAACACAGATTATGAATTACTAAGAAGCGAACTTTGCATTTACCTTGCACTCGTCTTGAATAGTTGCAGTTGATCTCGTCGGGTGGTAGCTACCTCTACAAGATCCCTCTATTCAAGTAGTATTTCCCCACGTTAGCAGGGCATAACTCCGAATAACAAGAAGCTTCTCGGTTTGGCAAGTGACATGATCCTTTTCGCCCAAGCGAATAACACCCTTTCGATGGTTCTTCTCTTCAAAGAAATTACCCATAAGCCGTTCTGCCCGATGGATGCCGATGTGTGCAGCTCTGAGTACCCTGTATGCAAGGTCCAAATTGTCTCGCTCATTTGTGTTGGTACCGCGGGCTACGTAGACCTTTCCAGTTGCTGTGTTGCGGCGGAACAACTGTACTAGATCAACAGCAGGATCGCTAAGACATCCCTTGTCGATGTGCGACAGTTGGTTTCTGATGATGTCTCGATTCTTGGTAGATGCCTTCAGAAATCGCTTGGGCAATGGACTTGTGTCATCAGCTGTACGGGTGGACAGTTTGGCTTCAATCTCTGCATCCTTGGCTTGTGCATAAGTGATGACAGCTTCAATGTTTGATCTAAGGATTTCGGATTTTGGGATAACACTCTTGGCTTCCTTCATGACCTCCTTCACCGTGGGATCTCTCTTGAGCTTCTCTTTCAACAAGTCTCTGGCTCTTTCGAACTCAGCTGGTTCAACGTTGAATATTGCTCTGCTAAAAAGAGCACGAAGGATACCGGCTTGAGCGCTGGAAGCATCTGCAAAAATGTCATTCCATCGCTTCAACCAGTGAAATGGATCCAATTTAATGGCAATGTTGTCACCAAACACTTTCTTCAGCATGCCGCTGACCTGACAACAATTATCCACGTACACAACCTTCACTGCATCCTCGTGCTGGACTGTTGCAAGGGTAGACAACTGCGTGCGGTCATAGTTTCCCTCCCCAAACAGATCGTTGGCAATTTCAACCTCATCGTGAACCTTCTTCAGCTTGAGATTGAGATCCAACCACTGCTTCAGCCTCTTCAAATCCTCCTCGATTTCAGAAAAAGACTCTGAATGGCGAAGTCCTTTCCAGAAAATTGTCAGGCCGTCCTCATTGTGGACAGTCACAATGCACTGATAAGGGGCGAAGCTCACTCCTGCTTTGGTCCATACCTTGATTTTCTTGGCAATCTTGTAATTGAAATCAATCTTGGCGATGGAGCAATTCAGACCCTGCATCAAAGCTTCCTGGAATGACTTGCGTTGCATGAATACTGTACTGACAATGGAGTCAACTCGATGCTTGCTGAGGAATTTACCGGCATACCCTTTCTTGTCTTCAAATTTCGAAAAGGATGGAAGGGATTCTTCCTGCGTTTCTGGCTCAGGGGCTGTTGTCTCATTGTTGTTGGCATATGGGTTGGGTACAGGTGGCACATAATCGTCAAGTGCCTTCTTCGCTTCTTCCAGATCAACATTCGCGTCTGCCACCAAAAGCTCAATCTCATCCACACGAGCCTGCAGCTTGGAAACGTACTGCTGCCCCCACTCTTGCCACTGTTCCACCAACCTTGCTGGAATCTGCACATCGAAATCTTGGTCTGGGTCCAAAGCCAACAATCCATGAAGCGAATGAACTCCATTCCGAATGAGCCGGTTCAGCTTAGCCGGTCCAAGCCCAGGGAGAACGTTCTTGTTTCCATGAACATTGCGGTCACCCTTAGGTTTGAGTAAATCCTTGAATAGTAAATCCTTTTCCACTCTCCTTTCAGCTGCGGCAAAGTCTAGCCGTAGGGATGTCACCTTGCGAAACTTGTCTTGTTTCCTTCGCTCTAAATTCAACTTCACCGGATCCACTGCTTGGGTTCTCCTTTGAATGAGTGAATCCAAGGTTCGCTGTCTCTTCGTTGGCCTGATTTTGTCCAAACCTACTGCTGCGAGATAAAGCAGGTGATCGTCGTAGTAGGCTGCGTATGCCATTTTCTTAAGTCGCTTTGCGATCTCCGCAGTTGATTGTGTTGTGGAATCTTCAATCACTTGGCGGTACAGATCTTCATCACAAGCAAAGCCATGACCCAAGTGAAAGTTGAAGAATGCGTTGTACAGAGTTGCATCTAGTTGCATCGACTTCTTGTTGTAGCCAGTGAAAAACCTTTTACATCGACCACATGGATACAACTTGGTGTCAAGATACTTGTATCGCGAAACCCCAAACAGAACTTTTGGAGCATTGATCCAGCGAGTCTTCGAATTGGTGATGCTAACATGGTCATTCTTCTTGCGGTGGGGGCAGTGCGGAACATGGTTCTTGAACAGCAAGTGGGGTACCCATGCGGCAACTGGGCGTGTGTAGAAGCATTCTACCGTGGCTTTCTTCTTCGAGGATTGGTTCAACAACTGACTGTTGTACCATCCACCTGTTTCTGGAGAAATGTCACGCCAGTTCTTCTTCTCCAGGAAGCGGCTGCCATTGCTGTCAATCTCCCCTCTTACTCTCTTGATGAAAGACCATTGCGATGGTCCTATCTGTTTCGGCACGGTGCTCATGGTGTTGAGTTAACAGAAGCAAGCTACAGGAATGGACGCACACATCGAAATGAAAGATGCTTACTGCGCGCCATTGAGGAGGCTTGACATGTGACGTTTCGGGGTGCGTTAGATCACTTAAGAACATTCCGCGGGCCTACTTTTTTGAACTCTGTAATTAGGAAATTTCGAGTCTTGCAATGCGAAGGATGGCCCGTAACCCACTTTGGAGCAAAGTATAGTGCTTTAACCTCGAAATACTGCTAATTTCTTCGAGATACGTCGAGGAAGGTTTAATGATCTTTATTGGTGATGTCATACGGAAGAAGAAGGAAAGAATAGCGAGAATTAGGGGAAGATATATGCATGCGGGACTGACCTCTATTTCTTTCTTTCTTGCATTTTTTCTCTTCTTCGCCAGGACCTCACTGGATCTCGACCGAATTTGCTTTGATGTAGAATCGAATCGATTGAATCGTTGGAATCAATCTTTGATCCGCTGGTACTGTACGCTGGAACTATTACGAAGTACTAATAATACCGCACCAACCAATAGCCCCCATCTAGCTAGCCATCACAGCGCCAAAAGACTCCCACCTCATCCTTCGTGCATCCTCGTCAGCGCCAGTTTGTTTCTTCTTTCGTCTTCCTTCTGCCGCAGCTCTTCGGTATTCCCTTTCATCTTCCTTACTATCGACAGCGAGCTAGCCCCTGCAGTTCAGCTCTCTGCTTGGCTGCCTTGTCCGTCTATTGTTCTTGGGTATACGCTACCATTAGCATAGAAAGAGACTGTGTTTGTACAGAACAAAGGATTGAATAGAATTTCTTCGATTGACTTCTTGAATTACACACCGTACATATATTCAAGCCATGGCGAAATTGACCAAGCAGACCACGTTTGTGATTATTGAAGAAAAGCCAATCGGTCACGACGACATCCAGAACAATCCCTATTGGGACAAGCCAACACCAACCGAGACAACTTCTGATAATGGCAATGCCTATTGGGACATTCCTCGTCCCGAGACTACCGGTACGAGTCCTCCTTTGGCAGCCACCAACCATAATAACTCGAATCCTTATTGGCAAATTCCAATCAATCAACAACAACAAGATGATGAGATTGCTTCCGATATCAATCCGCAAAACTCTACTTCTGGTACTTCCTCTTCTCCTGGTGGTACCACTTCTTCTTCTTCTACCAGTAGCAGTACAGACCCACCGGGAGAAGGTATTTTGCATTCGATTCGTCGGTACGATCAACTCCGTCAAGAGTTCCCCCAAGAGTTTATTCCCCCGGAAGACGACAATTCCAACGTAGAACTCTTTGAACTGCCACCCACAGACGACGCAACCGAAATTGCCTTTTGTCATTTGACGGCCATTCTACCATTTACCCAAAACGACCAAAAACCATTTCAAATTGCCCACGAAGATGCCGCCGCCGTGGCATTGGCCGTGCAAGACTTGAATTCCGGCAATGGCGTAGTTGTGCCAGAAGTGGAAGGGTTGAATGAGCGTTGCAATATCCGCTTCACCACGGAATGGTTCGACACAGAATTTCAAGGAGGTGTCGCATTGGCACGGGTCGTCGACGTCACCAGTCGCTCGACACAAAAACCATGTGCCTTCTTGGGAGCCTACCGATCGGCCGTCTCCATGCCCATGAGTATCGTCACGGGATTGTTTGGATACCCACAAATCAGTGCCGGTAGTACCAGTGCCGATCTTGACGATGCCTCGCAATATCCCCTCTTTGGAAGAACCATTCCCAGTGATGCCGGAAATGCCATTCCCATCATTATATACATGCACACTGTATT